CTGGCCTGGATCAGGAACAGTGTGGCCAACAGGTCCAGGGAAGTGATTCTTCCCCTGGACTGAGCGCTGGTGAGGCCACCCCTGGAGTGCTGTGTCCAGTTCTGGGCCCTCAGCTCAGGAAGGACATTGAGGTCCTGGAGCAGGTCCAGGGAAGAGCAACGAGGCTGGGGAAGGGACTTGAACACAAGTCCTCTGAGGAGAGGCTGAGGGAGCTGGGGGGGGCTCAGCCTGGAGAAGAGGAGGCTCAGGGGAGACCTCCTCACTCTCTACAACTCCCTGACAGGAGGGGGGAGCCAGATGGGGGTTGGTCTCTTTTCCCACCCAACCATCAGCAAGGCAAGAGGGCTGGGTCTTCAGCTGTGCCAGGGGAGGTTTAGGTTGGATATTAGGAAGAATTTCTTTACAGAGAGGGTGATCAGCCATTGGAATGGGCTGCCCAGGGAAGTGGTGGATTCTCCATCCCTGGAGGTGTTTAAGGTGAGACTGGATGTGACATCAGTGCCATGGGCTGGGAACCATGGCGGGGTTGGATCAAGGGTTGGACTTGATGATCTCAGAGGTCCCTTCCAACCCAGCTGATTCTCTGATTCTGTGTGTTCTCGAAGGATTTAAGGTGTGCAGAGACTGAGTTGTCAGTTCGTTGCTGCTGGATGTGCAACATGGGAGTCCTCCAGACCAGGATGGGATAGGTGATGGTGTTTTGTCCAACTTCATATGTCTGTGCCCTCTCAAACATTCCCAAAAGCCTTTCTGGGCCGCATTCCTCGTGTAGTGCCATGGGATCCTGGTACCTGAGTGCCAGTCCCTCCATCCCTTCACCTGAGGAGGATTATGCCTGTCCCCAGGACTGTTCCCCAGGCATCCCATGGGACTCATGGATCCCTCAGGGCTGTGGCCATCACCGCAATGTCCCCACATCCAGAGGCTCCAGAGAGACAGCTGTCTGTGAGGAGAGCCCATGCTGAACCAGCCCCATGATCCTGGTGCCAAACCTTCACCTTCTCTTCTCCTCCTAGATGGACCCAAAGGCAGTAAATCCATCCGGCAGAAGCTGGAGAGCTTCTCAAAGGAGAGGAAAGGTGAGCAGCCTCCCCTTTCCCTGGGGTTTGGTCCCTGCTCTCAAGTGGAATTAGTGATTTTTGGTGGGGTGAGCTGGGAGGTGCCTGAATCCAGCAGGTTGCTTCATCCCAGGTTGTTTTGCTGTTTTTGGAGTGAGGTGGAGCAGCACGAACGTGACGGAGCCTGGAGGGATGGAATATGTGTGCACATAAATGTGCATTTTCAAACTGTTTATAAATGTTGCATATAAATGTTTCTATCTGCCCATTTTGCCCCAGTCTCGCTGCTTCCAATTCCATTTTATCATCCCTTGAAGGATTTCAGTGACAGCCCTGGGGAACCCAGAATCCTAGAGCAGAGCCAGGCGGGAATGAGCTTCCCCACACCGGTACAAAGCCACCTCAAGGAAACTATTGAAATTATTGTCTCATATTTTACTAAATGGATTTGTGGCTTGTGCTCCCGGTGTAGTGCAGAGTCTGGGGGTGAGGAGAGCTCTCCCTGTCAGAGGGATGGAGAGGGACAGTTATTTGGGAAGAATACCACTAATACCAAGGCTGTTCTATGTCGGCAGATGTAGCTGAGACAAACCCTGTAGAAAACTGGAAGGTTAGAATTTGGGAAGAATCTTTTGGTTTGGATATTTCTGGTGATTTATGAAGTCTTTGCTTCATAGGTATCAAGGCATCTTCATGGGGTTGGAACCAGTAATATGAAAGAAAGCCCAGGAAAAACTGGGACGGGCTCCAACAGGCTCTCTGATGGAGACCAGTTTTCCTTCCCAGCTCCCCTGTGTCTCTTTCCTCTTCCTCCAGCATCCCATTTCCCACGCCATGCCCTCCCTGCTCAGATCTCTGGCACTCAGGGTCCCACCACACAGTGCCCTGGTGCTTTCCAGGGGCAGCAGCCTCCTCTGGGTTTGCCTGGGCCCTTGGGAATGCTCTTCCCACCTGCTCCTGGGGGCGGGAAACCTGGACTGAGTGCAGCTCCCTCCCCGGTGACGCTTTTCCCTTTCTCCCGTGTTGTTCCCCAGACTGCTCTCCTCACACCTTCGGGATCCCGCTCTCCCAGGTCATTGCCAACGACCGCACCCACCGGCAGCTCCAGGAAGCCGTGGGGAAGAGTCGCCGGCTCTGCCTGGAGGTGGAGGCCACGGTGACCAGGTTTCGGGCTCAGAGGCAGAAGAAATCTGGGATGAGCCCAAGCTGTGTCCGAGCACCTGATGGGGGTTTCCCAGAGGAGTCGCTTTCCCCAACTCTTCCGGATAAGAGCTTCTGGAGCCAGCGAAGGGTACGGTCCCAAAACGGGCTGTGATGGTGCTGTAGGATGGGGGGTCTGAATTCAGCAAGAAATGGGGTTTTCCTGGGTTTTTTCTTAACAAATGTAAGTCAGTCGTGCTCCATGCAGGGCTGATCCCAGGTTGCCCTCAGGGAAATGAGGATGGCCCTGCTCCCCCTGGAGAGGGACTGTGAGAGGTGGGAGGATCTTCACCAGCTGAGCTCTTACTGAGCCAGGGTTACCAGGAGGACATTTCAGGGTCAGGAGGGTCGGTTTATATCAGATATGGAGAAGAAATTCTCCCCTGTGAGGGTGGGGAGGCTCTGGCACAGATTGTTCAGAGAAGCTGTGGCTGCCCCATCCCTGGAGGTGTCCAAGGCCAGGTTGGACAGGGCTTGGAGCAACCTGGGCTGGTGGAAGGTGTCCCTGCCCATGGCAGGGGGTGGAATGGGATGCTGCCTTTTCCCACAAACCTCTGAGGTGGCAGTGAGCACTGGGATCTGTGGGGTCATTCCTGCCACCCCTCTGCTCCATCCCAGGGGGCCCTGTCCGTGGATTCCATCACCGACCTGAGTGACAATGTGTCCAAGCTGCTGGAGGCACTGCAGCTCTCACACCCTCATGAACTGGACCCACGGAGAGTCCTGGGCAAGAAGAACATGCTGAGCCTCAACCCAATCACCTGGCAGGTCCCACGGATCGTGGAGAGGTGCTGCACACACATTGAGACTCACGGTAAGGGCGTGGGTGCCTCCGGCAGGTCCCGTGAGAGGCAGGAAAAACCCACTGTGTGTGGTGGGCTGGGACATTCCAGCCTGGCCATTCCCCAGAGTGGGAGGAGGCTGCTGGTTTAGTGGGCATGGATTCGTTTGAAGGTTAGATCTGATGATCTTGGAGGTCTTTTCCAACCTTAAATGATTCCACAATTCCGGGGGCAGGCCAAGGAGCCACCTGTGGAGAGTCCTCTGGGCTGGAAGCTGCATCAGCAGGGAACGTCACTGTGTGTATCAGTGACCATGTCTGGTGCCTTAACTGCCACTGCACATCCAGGCCCTCCCTCAGAGCAACTGTAGGGATGAGCTCTCCTCCCTTGCCTACAGACAATCCCAGAAAATCTCGCAGCTCCACAACCTTTCCTTTTCCCCACGCTGCCTGGAGAGGGAAGGGTGCATAGCCCCTGCTATGGTGCTGAGGTGCTCCCAGGACCAGCTGGGGTGGCAGGGATCTGTGGGGATGCACAGCACTAACCTGCCTGTCTCCCAGGTCTCCAAACAGTGGGAATCTTCCGTGTTGGGAGCTCCAAGAAAAGAGTTCAGCAGGTAAAGGGAGACTTCTACTCCGTCCTCGTGGCCATACCACATCCAGAGGTCAGAGGCTTGTATGGATGGGGATGAATAGAACAGGCACTGGTGTGGAGAGGTCTAAAACATCCCAGGCACGTGCTGGATCACAGGCAGCCTAGGTCCTGCTGCTGGGTCCTTCTTCCAGCCAGGAGACCAGTCCAGCTCCTTCCCTCCAGCCTGTCTTTGGCAGACGAGCCTCCATCCCCTGGTTGGCACTTCAGAGCCAAGGGCTCCATCTGGTCCCATGGCCCATCCAAAGGGCAGCAGAAGGCTGCTGGGCTCTGACACACCTTTTTGGGGTGCCCTGCTTTGGGGGGACATTGGGAGTAGCCGACCCTCGTATCCTGCCATGGCAGTAGCCCTCCTGACAGGATGACTCCTCCAAAGAGTAAGAACTGACCGTTGCATTATTCTTTTCATCTCTTCCATCTCTAAGCTGAGGGAGGAGTTTGACCAAGGGCTGGATGTTTTTTTGGATGAGCATCAAAGTGTTCATGATGTGGCTGCTCTGCTCAAAGAGTTTCTTCGGGATATGCCAGATTCCCTGATTCCCAGAGAGCTCTATGGAGCCTTCCTCAGCACAGCCAGTGAGTACCTGCAGAGCAGAGACTGCACAAAGTCATGGAATGGGTTAGGTTGGAAGGGACCTTAAAGCCCATCTCATTCCACCCCCTGCCATGGGCAGGGACACCTTCCACTAGCCCAGGTTGCTCCAAGCCCCATCCAACCTGGCCTTGGACACTTCCAGGGATGGATCCTTCTTCACCACCCTCCTTTTCCAAAACCACTGGACAATGGTGGGATGGGTGACGTGCTGCCTGGCACTGCCATGGGCAGTTACTCTCATCTGTGGGTTTGGGGGATTTTTTTAAAAATTGGATTATAATAATCCCTCTGGACCAGGACAGTCTTTGACTGTGGGGCTGTGCAATACACAACACCATCACATCACAGCCCTTGCTAGGGTCTCTCATCCCATGGGATGAAGGATGGGACACCAGCCTGGCTTCCTCCCGAGCTCTTTCCCGTGGGTGTAGAGGAGGGCTGGAAGTGCCTGGTGGGCTGGAATCCTCACTAACAGCTGCTCTCTGCCCAGCCATGGAGGGGCCAGCACAGCTGGATGCCCTCCAGCTGCTTCTCTTCCTGCTGCCCCCCTGCCACAGCGACACCCTGCACCGGCTCCTGCGCTTCCTCGGAGAGGTGGCCCGGCACGCCGAGCGCTCCTGGGATGCTGATGGCCAGGAGGTGAGGCTTATCCAAAGGGAACCACTGCATGGGGAAGGGGTGCTCAGGCTGCAGTGGTTAGAACCGAGCAGAGCTGCTGCAGGCCTAGGTGAACCCTCTGGAAAAAACAAATCCATCACAGAATCATTTAGGTTGGAAAAGCCCTCCAGGATCACCGAATCCAACCTGTGACTGATCACCTGGGTGACCTTGTCACCAGACCAGAGCACTGAGGGCCACATCCAGGTGTTCCACCAGTCCATCTGCAGGGATGGGGACTCCACCACCTCGCTGGGCAGCCCCTTCCAATGCCTGACAACCCTTTCCGTGAAGAAATTCCTCCTGATGTCCAGCCTGACCCTCCCCTGGGACATCTTGGGGCTATGTCCTCTTGTCCTGTCAAGACAGGATGAATCCCATGTCCACAACAGGCCTGTGTGGCTCAGGCTGGCTCTGAGATTTTCAGGGTGCCATAAACCCCAGAGAGACCTGGCTGTGTGTCCATAGGCAGCGCAAGGGGCATTTTTTGTGGACTAATTCTGGTTTCCCACCTCCCAGTTCCATGAAGTCACTTGTGTGACTGTATGTTGAGGTTGATTTTGATTTCTCTAGACAGCTCCGAGTCTCTCCATGATTCAGGTGCTGGTTTTGTCCCCTAATGGGAGATGACACGGAAATATTGATCCTTGGTAGGGGCTGGGAACGTGGGACATGTGGGAATGGAGGCAAGGAGGGGATGAGCGTGTGCTTCAGCACCTTTGTGATGGTCTTGACACCAGCTCAGAGAGGACCAAACTGGACCCAGACCATCACCCCAGCCCCACCCACCAGCTCATGCTCCTGCCCTGGGGTGGGTGACAATATCCTGGGACATCCCATGCTGGTACTTCCATAATCCTCAGTTTCCCTTTGTGCTTCCTTGCTAGGTTCCTGGGAATAAAATGACAGTTTCAAACCTGGCCACAGTCTTTGGTCCCAACATCCTGCAGAAGGAGAAGCCTGGAGAGAAAGACGCCGGTGCCCTGAACTTTGAGGACAGCGCTGCCATAATCCTGGTGCTCCAGAGGCTGATCGAGCACCACCAGGCCCTGTTCATGGTGGGTGAGGCTCCTCAGGGCAGCTCCTCCAGACCTCCCTTCCCTCTGAACTCTCCCAGTGGCAGCAGAGCAAGGGGGTGTTCACAGCCCTGCCCAGGAGCAGGTGACTCTAGTCGGCTTTGGGAACACGGCTCATTCCTCACGGCGTAAATACGGATTTAGGATGGCTCGATTTAGGTGCCATTGAAAGGGCACAGCTGAGGGTTGTGCCGTGGAGGTCCCCTCTTCTCTGGCACCTCCCACCTTGGTGACGTCTGACCGAGCTCCTCTGGGACAGGGAACATCTGGCCAACAGCAGGGGTGGCATCTGGGGGCTGTTTCTCCCCCAGACTCCCAGTGAGGGGGGAAAGAAGTTGAAAAATGGGAGAGCCTAGAATAGGGAAGGAGCTGGAAGAGGATGGCATGGGGTGGAGTGCCAAAGCCTCAGGCAGGTGTGGGCAAGATGTAACAGCAGGGAGAGCTGGTGAGGGCAGTGAGAGACCACTTCAGATCGCTTCAGATCCACTCTTCAGCAGGAGTCAGGCAGTGCTCATCTCATACTGGGGGATGCATCGCCCTGGGATCCCCAAAAGCTTCTTTTAGAGTCATATAAAGGCTCATACGGGAAGAAGAGAGCTCTGGGCCTCCAGACCAGCCAGATCAGGGCTGCAATCTGGCTGGGCTTTACTTTCCAGGGATGGGGAGCTGTGACCTCTCCAGGTCCTGTCCCAGGACTGCACCATCATCAGGGGAAGGTTTTCGTCCCTGTCAGAGGTGCCCCTGCTGCACCTTGGTTTGTGCCCATCCTCTGTGATGGGTCTGGCTCCATCCTCTCTCCACCCTCCCACAGGATACTTGCAGGCAACAAGAGCCCCCACAGGTTTATGAGAATGGGACATTTCAGTCAAAAAGCTTCATAGCAATTTTGGGGGTCTGTGGGGAGCCAAAAGACCAGGGTTGCTGGGGGGAAAGCAGGGGCTGAGATCCTGTAGAGCCCGGGAGGTGTGTGGGATGTGACACCAACATGGTGTGTCCACGACCACGTATTGTCCTGGAGTCCTTCCACTGTCCTCGGCTGCCCCTGCTCATCCTCCTGCCGAGGGGGACCCCACGAGTGTGTCCGTGTGTGCCCCCAGGTGTCTCCAGAGATGCAGTGTGACATCCTGAGGAGGCTGTTCCAGACAGATCCCGATGTCATTGATTACCTGCTGCGCAGGAAGTTCCCTGCCGTGCCGTAAGTCCCCACGAGGCTCCTCCCTGCACGGGGCCAACCCTCCTCCAGCCTTCCTCCTCCCTCCACTGCTTCTGCTCATGAGCTCCCCAGCAAAAGGCCTTCACATCCTAGCTTTCCTGTCCCTCAGAGCTCCCTGTTCTCCTTGTTTCCTCCCTCAGGTCCCCTCCAGAGCATCAGAATCCCTTCTTGTCCAGCCCCCTCCTCTGCTCCTGCCTCTCAGGGTTGCGTGCTGATACCTGCTCCATGTTCAGGCTTCTCTAAATCTTCTTTGTCCTTGGTGCCCACATTTCCATGCGTTTTTTTGCCTTGTCCTGTGTGGCTGTGCATCCACTTTTAGGCTCTAAGATGGGACAGTCCCACTGAGGCTCAGAATTGGAGCTCATGCCCTTCCCTGTGATTAAATACAGTGGGATTAAATACAGATTAAATACCTCATGTCCCATAAGCTGGGCCCACCATCACAGCACCTAATGCAGGAGGGGGTTTGCTCTCTGGGGTTGGAAGCAGGGGATCTTTGGAAGCAGGGGACACTCAGGAGCCTCTGGTCTCCTGGTAGAGCTGGTGACTCTTCAGCAAACAGGGACTGTCCTGTGTGAGGGGTTTTCCTGGACCACAGGCCACATCCAGGCCAGGTTGGACAGGACTTGAAGCAAGCTGGTCTAGAGGAAGGAGTCCCTGCCCATGGCAGGGAGTTGGACTACATGGTCTTCAAAGTCCCTTCCAACCCAAATGTTGGATTCTATAATCCACAGTACAGTTCCTTGTCTGTCTTCACATTCCCTTTGGGGCTGTCCAGAGATGGCAGTCTTTGGGATCTTTGGGATCACTGCTAGAGGACATTTGGGAGTGGAGTTGGCAATAGAAGCATTTGCAATTAGCATCTCTCTCTGTTTTTTGCTTCCTTAGGCAGCTGGAGCGTGAGGGTTCCGCAGAGGGCCACTCTCCCTCCGCACTGCCTGGCTGGACACGCAGCCTGGAGAGCAGCTCGGTCTCCTCAGAGCTCTACAGCAACGTCTCATTCCTAAACCTGCACGTTGGCATCTAGTGAGCCCTGACCAGGCCCTCTGGACAAACTGGGCAGCCTTTCCCAGCAAAAACCAGTCCTCTGCCCCACTTTGGGGGAAAGCCCTGTGCCTGTGCCGTGGGGGTGCGTGTGTGGGGCAGAGCTGTGCTCGGGAGCCACCAGCATGGGCTGTCACCTCCTTGCAGGTCCAAAGCACTGCTGTGCCCCTGGCACAGCCCTGCCTCTGCCATCTGCTTCATCGGAGTTTGGGGAATGAGATTCCCATCCCCAGAGCTGAGGGGACTGGAGCGTCCATCTTTCGAGGGAAGGCTGAGGGAGCTGGGACTGTTCAGCCTGGAGAAGAGACAACTTGTCCCCCAAAGGGACCTTATGGATGTATCTAAGTGCTTTTGTAAGGGCCTGGAGTGACAGGACAAGGGGGAATGGCTTCCCACTGCCAGAGGGCAGGGTTAGATGGGATATTGGGAAGAAAATCTTCTTTGCGAGGATGGTAAGGCCCTGGCACAGGTTGCTCAGAGAAGTTGCCATGGGCAAAGACACCTTCCACTGGACCAGGTTGCTTCCAAGACTCCATCTAGCCTGATCCTGAACACTTCCAGGGATGGGGCAGCCCCAGCAGAGGGATGAAAGAGTACTTTTGCAAACAAAACCAGGCTGGAGTGTCTGGTGGAACAGCAGCACGGGGAGGGATGGGGATGTTTAAAGGACCAAAGCTCCATCAGTGCTTCGCTCCATGAGGGTTTTCCTACATTCACATCCAGAGTTGGTCCATGGATGATGGTCCATGATTCTAGATCATCTTTAAGGTCCCTTCCAACCCAAAACATTCTGTGAGAGGTGGAATGGGGAATCGCAGCCAGGGCCAGCTCTCCAGGAAGCTTTGGGCTGGTGGGATGCTCCCATGTGTCATAGCTCTGGGCACATCTTGTGGTACCGAGAGGATGATGAAGGGCTGGATGACCCTTTCCCTGCTGCTGGCCTGAGAGGGAGGATGGATTCATATTCCATATTCCGTATTCCACCACAGCCTGTGCCCAGTACTGGTCTAAAGGCACCAGAGCCTCGGGGCTGGGCTCTTATTTTGCAAAGGTCCCTTCCCTGAGGATGGGTACAGTTGGGATGGGTGGGGAGGTATTTCCTGGAGGAGTGTGTGCTGTGAGATAGCTGGTGAGACCTCCCGGGTCTCTGGTCTCTGATAAGCTCCAGAGACCAGCAGTGCTGTTGAGTCTGTGGGAGTGGATAAGCTCGGGACACCACGGGGCTGCTGAAGGTTCCTGGGGTCACCAGCACACCCGAGTGTCCACTGTGAAACCAACACCATGTCCAGCAGCTGGGCTGGGTGGGATTGTACCTGCTGCAAGAGCAGCCCCTCTGGGGACCTTCCAAATTCCTTCTTAGGGTGGTAAAACAATGGCACAGGTTGCCCAGAGAAGCTGTGGCTGCCCCATCCCTAGAAGTGTTCCAGCCAAGCTGGACAGGGCTCGGAGCAACCTGGGACAGTGGACGGTGTCCCTGCCCATGGCAGGGGGGTGTGACTGGATGGGTTTTAAGGTCCCTTCCAACCCACATCATTCCTGACCCTGTGACTCTGTGGATGAGACAGGAATGCTGACACGAGGCAGCTCTTTGCAGGAAAAGTCCTGTTGAAGTTCACTTTCCCAGCGCCACAGAGGGGGCAGGGAGGGCATGTGGGGCTCGCTGGGAAGCGCCGTCTTTCTCCTTTTACTGCCAAAACTATAAAAATCACTGTAGGGTGTTTCTCCCGCCACATCAGAAGCCTAAAACTGCTCAGTGCCGGTGGGATATTGCTGGAAACTCCACTTGAGGGCAGCCCAGCACCGGCCTGCCCACGGCCTCCCTGAGCTGCATGGACACTCCTCCGCCTGAAGGAGCAGCCGGCTGGCGCTGCTGGAACACACCAGCGCTTGCTTAGAGCTGCTCTCTTTCAGCCTCACAAAATAAACCCCGTCCCCAAGCAGTTGCAAAGCTCATTCAGGGAGCCCTGGCATTGCTCCGAAGAGTCCAGTGGCTTTTGCCACGCTCCAGGTTCTGTTCTCGTGGGCTCTTTGCCCTGGTTGTTGTTGGGTTGTTAATGTTTGGGGGTGTCTGTTGTTGTTGAGGGGGTGGTGGCTGTTTTGGGGGGTGGTGGCTGTTGTGGGTGGTTGGTGTTTCGGGGGCAGTTGCTGCTGTTGGAGTGGTTCTGGCTGGTTCTCAGCACCAACCCCACCAAAACCGTCTTGAAGCACTCAGCACTGGTGGGGTTTCACATCTGAAGTCAAGCTTAGGGCTTGTGTGAAGGGCACAACAGGGAGTATCTGCAGGAGTGGGATCAACTGCTCGGATTCATGAGTGATTTTAGGGTCAACGGCAAAGAAAGCAGGACCCATTCCCTTCTTTTTTTTTAATGCCCGTGTCTACCCTCATGCTGCTGAGCAGGATCCAGGGTGCTGCCCAGACACAGAGCTCTGGGCTTGACAGCTCACTGGGAAAACTGGAGGAGAAGATCATGGAATTGTTGAGGTCAGAAAAGCCCTCCAAGACCATCCAAGTTCAACTGCTCCCCCAACACTGCCAAGGCCACCACTAACCCATGTCCACGAGTGCCACGTACACATGGCTTTTAAATCCTTCTAGGAACGGGGACTCCACTGTGCCAGGGCTGGACAACCCCTTTCCATGAAGGAATTTTTCCCAATATCCAACCTAAACCTTCCCTGGCACAACTTGAGGCCGTTTTTCCCTTGTTCCCTGGGCGCAGAGCCCGACTCCCCCCTGCTCCACCCACCTCCCCGGGGTGTGTGGAGAGCTCAGGTCCCCCCCCGAGCTCGGGCACGGACGGGGGGGTGACCCCGGGACCCGCCCGGGATCCCCTGGGAGCGCCCGTTGGGGCGGAGCCTCTTGGAGGCCCCTCCCAGCCCCCGCCCACCCCATCACCGGTTTGGGGCCAAAACCGCCGGGACTGGGACCTGCTGCTGCCGCGGGACCGGAGCACAGGGAGCGGAGCAGAGCCCGCCGAGCAGCCGGTGAGTGCCGAGCCGAGCTGAGCCGAGCCGAGCTGAGCCGAGCCGAGCCGAGCCACCTCCTCGGAACTCCCCCTCCCCGCCCGCAGGGACTCTGTTCCTGCATTCCCCCCCAACACCTCGCTGCGCATCCCGTCGGGAATCCCCGGGAGCGGGATGGAGCCTGGAGCTCCCGGACTGTCCTGGCCGGGGATTGTGGTCCCTTCCACCTCCCATCCAGGCTGCCCCTGGATCCCTGGAAGTGTCCAAGGCCGGGTTGGACGGGGCTTGGAGCAACCTGGGCTAGTGGAAGGTGTCCCTGCCCATGGCAGGG